TCGTGATTTCAACAGCTCAAGGCCTTCGAGAGTACTTCAAAATTTGAGCTTCCAAAAATCAGCTCATCGGCTGATTCCCCAGTCATCATCATCAAGCTCAAGCCTTCAGAACGTCACTCCGCGCGTTCAGTAGGAGTAGCCTCAACGATCTCAAACTCTGTGCGACCCGTCCAGCTTGTTGCTCCTTCAGGTAGTTCAAGATTTCTGGCAGGTTTGGGATCTCTTACATCAAAGCGATCTTCAAAGCTCAACGCCACCTTCACAGGGGCACTGATCGCCAGAGTGCGTCTCCGACCTGTCAGGGTCGTCCATGTCACTCCAGTAGGGATCCCCTGTTGGCTAGGCATATAAAGTCGCTTTCGAGGCACAGCATGAAATCTCGTCAAAACTCGTCGTCGATCGATCCATTCATCTGACTTCATCCCAGGCGGCAGCCGCTGGTGCACCAAAGCTTCAGGTCCACCCCACTCCGGTATTTTCGACCGGTCCAGTATAGGAGGAGCCTTCAAAGTCCATCCCGGTCGAATGACCAGTCTTTCACGATGGGTCGCAGCAGGTTGTCCAGCTTGTTGTGGCAGCGCCTGTGAATCTGGCTCTTCTTCGAGTCGAAGATCGCCACTCGAAGAAGCAGCCTCCCGCTCAAAGATCACTCCTCGTTCACGGCTCCCTTCTCGCATCAGGTTAGGGTGGGGCGAGGATTTAGGGAAACCACTAACCCTCCTACGCAACCCTTCAACCGTAGTAGTTCCTAAACCCTCGTCGCAGTCGTTTCCATCATCAGGGGTAGTTCGGGAACCATTAGGGTCATCACGGGCCGGGCTGGCCAAAGACCTGGAACCGCATCCAGTAGTTACTCCGTCATCGTCGTGGGTTCGGGAACCACTAGGGTGATTAGGAGCCGGGCTGGTTAACAACCATGAACCACCCAACTGACCCTCTGCTTCACAATCCAAGCTCGCAGGCTCAGACCCAAGAATCACTGACCAGTCATCTTCTGGTCCTTCCGAATCGAGGCCCCTCACAGATCTGATCCTTAGGGGCATCAACTGACTCACGCTTCCAACACTTCCACGCAACCAAGGCAATCAAGCCGACCAACACAAGCACTGCACTTAGGTACTTCAGGAGGTCGAAGATCTCGTCAAGCTGATTTTTCTCCTCTTCAATCTCAACCTGAATCTTCATCAACTTTGATGCCACGCCATCAATGAGTGAAGCTGCTGTGATTGCACGAAGGGCCTGTTCAACACGACCATCTCCCCCGGACCCCGAGGACTCAACAGGCTCAATCTTGTATCTTTTGATTTCTTTCAAGGAGTCCGACTCCCCCCCATCAGCATCTGATGGCTTTTCAAGCGTCACACTCATCATGCTGAGTAACTCTTTGATACGGGGTCCCAGTAGCGGTTTTGTGCAAAGATCACCCAACATGTATTTCCCAGGCACATGGTAAGCCTTGAATCGCGAGTACTCCAATTGTTCAAAAAACCAAGCAGCCTTAAGTCTCAAATGACGCGTCCTCCATGAACCTTGCGGCAAGCTCATGACAGTACAAGCACCAACGTTGTCATTATAAAGAAAGGATCGTTGTGGCGCCTCTGCCAGTTCCGACAGCAAGCCGTGTAGCCCTTCTGCCAGTGTCATCCCATCCAAAGAGGCTTGGAGTTCTGCTTCAGCCGTGCTTAAGCTAGCGCAGGGTTGCCTCATTGACATCCAACCAATTGGGGCATTGCCCCACATGAGCACGATGCCAGTCTGACTTCGATCGCTCCCTGGACAAAAGCTTGCGTCAGCAAAAACCTCGATCAGATTAAAATCTCTCTCCACCGGCAGCTGGCTTCCAGGACCATGTCCCTCACCCGGAATTCCGTAGCGCACCTCCTGATGTTTCGTGCTTTTGAGATATCTGATCATATCCTCCGCCCTCTGAATGGCTTGGTCCACGTCCCTTGTAATAAGCTGTCCAATGCGACTAACCCCATAAACCAAATCTGCTCTCGTCCTGGTGGCTAGCCAGAGGAGTTCTCCGACCAGCCCTTGTGCACGACGTAGTTTCTCCAAAGAGTCTTGAGGCTTGCACACCGGTTCTGATTCCTTGGCGTAGGGGGCGCTGGTAACTCCAGTTACTTCAGAGTACTTGTCCAGTAAGGACTGAACATACTTCGATTGACCCACATGAAGTCCTTGGTCATCTTGCCTGATTTCAAATCCACAAAATGTGATTCCCTGGCCCTCGTCGGCAAACTCCGGCTCGCTGATCTTCCACTTTTCCTTGATCGCCTTCCATATAGCCGTTGATGCTTCAGGAGTTCCCGAAAGCAATAAATCATCCACATAAATTGTGAGGATTGCGAGGAGTTCAGCCGTTTGCGGGCTTTTCAACAACCACAAATTGGGATCATGCTTGGACTGTTCAAGATGTGTTATCTGTTCATTCAATTTCACTTCAATGGTGGGGTAGCCCAAGCCGCTGGACTGGACTGCAGTCCATACAGCGCTCCAGTGACTTCCCACAGCTCCCCCGGAGCTGAGAATCCGGCTTGTGTGATCACCGAAGGAGGTCGTAGGATTGTTACCTTGCCTGGCTGACGAAGTGGAGCTAAAAGGAAGGCGGTGCGAACATCCGATCCAGATGTTCTCCATCCTTTCCGAACAGCTCGATACCCCGCTGCTCGCAAGTGGCAACGCAGGCTGAGGCTGTCAGCCCCACCAGCATAACACTGAACCTTCTTGTCTCTCCCTTTTTCACGAGCCGATTCGGAGAAATTCCCACATGCAACGACTCTGCACTTGTG